TCACTAAGTTTCGATCCCCTTTTTATGATTTCCTCTCTTTTAATCGAATCTTAACTTGATACTCGTTCCATAACTTGTTCATTTTCGATATCTACATAATCATACATTAATACATATCAGTATCCCATTGATATACTCTAATCTATCATTTCTTAGACCAAAAGAAATGTCTATTTCAATTTCCCCTTGAAGTGCATCGATGCATTCTTTAACATGTGCATCGATGCACTACCCATGCATCGATACACAATTTACCTTCGATGTTTTCATTTTAAGGGGGGTGCATCGATGCACTCCTAATGCATCGATGCACTAACTGCATTCGATGTTTCCATTTTTAATGGGTGCATCGATGCACTTCCTGTGCATCGATACACTCTGAACAATTCTGGAAATTTACTCTTGATGCATCGGTGCACATTGAATGTGCATCAATGCACATAGCCCAAAATTCATTTTTAAGCCCGAAAATCTACTCAATTTAACTCAAATGTTTCATCTTTCATCCCTTTCATGATCTCAACTCATATACACATGTTTAAACTCATTTATGTTCATTTACTTCTTCGTGTACCTTAATATTCTATCCTCTTTATTCACTTCCAGAATCATACCATATTTTCAACATGTTTTAAAACTCATTTTATCACTTCATATCTCTTAATTTAACCCTTGACAAGTCAAATTCAACTTTAAAATCTATTAACTCCTTCTATTTCACTAATTCACTTAAAAACTCTTCATATTTAATCCTTCAAAACTCATCCATTTTGAAGTTTCAACCTACTTTAATCTCTAAATAATCTTTCTTAGCACCCCAAGAATCAAAAATAAACTTAAAATTCAAGAATTAACCAACTGAAATTAAACTTACCTTTGCCATGGAGCATATGGGAAGAGAAAAGGAAAGAGATAACCCAAGCTCCAGACTTTTCTTTTTTTCTCACTCTTTCCACGTGTTTTATAACCTTAAAAGAAAGATAAAAATATTTCTGGTCAAATGACCCTTTTACCCTTTATTTCCTTTAATAATTACTAAATAACCTTCATCATATATTTCCAATAATCATTAAACTGTTTCATTCTTCTACTTTAGTCACCAAATTCTGAAACTTTACAATTTAGTCACTAACCCGATATTACGGATGTTACATCTACTTCCTACCATGTTGTACAACAATTTCCTTTACTTGAACCTTCAACCGATGTTATGTTATTGCATTTTCGTTTAGGACATCCCAGTTTCTTTTATCTTGCAAAATTGTTTCCACATTTGTTTGTCAATAAGAGTCCAAAATCTTTTTCTTGTGATATTTATCCACTTGTTAAACAAACTAGGAGTGTTTACCTTCTCTATATAAACCGTCCAAACCATTTACCATGATCCATAGTGATATTTGGGGACCATCTCGGGTCGCATCTTTACATGGGTTTCGGTGGTCTATTTCATTTATTGATGATCAAACTCGTACTACCTAGACCTTTCTCATGAAAACCAAATATGAAGCTTGTGAAATATTTAAACGGTTCCATAAGATGGTTGAAACCCAATTTCAGTGTTCAATCCAAATGTTTTATTCTGACAATAGTAATGAGTATTTTGCCAATGTTTTGGGTTCTTTCTTTCAGGAAATCGGGATTATTCATCTTACTTCGTTTGTCAATTCTCCTCAACAAAATGGGATTGCTGAGCAAAAAAACATACATCTTCTTGAGGTTACTCAGTCTCTACTTTTTCCACAAATATTCCTAACTATTTTTGGCGGGAAGCCCTTTTAACTGCCACTTATTTGATTAATCGTCTCCCTAGTAAACCGTTACAATTTAAGTGTCCGAGAGATGTTTTTCTTTAGTTTTTTCTCAATTTTAGACCGATGACTTCATTGTTACCCCTTTGAGTTTTTGGTTGTACTGTGTTCATTCATAACAATGTTCCTTTCAGGTCCAAATTAAATCCTCGAGCATTTCGGTGTGTGTTTCTGGGTTATTCATCGACTCAAAAGGGCTTTCGGTGTTATTATCCTCGTACAAAGAAATTCTTTATTACTATGGACGTTACTTTCTTTGAAAAAACACTTTTTTCCTTAAAACTGCTATTCAGGGGGAGTCATATAATGAATATCAGTTTATTGACTCACAACAATTGTCACTTGATTTGTAGCCAGCTCATTTTGATCAACCAGCACCGTCAAACCAGTTAAACCAGTCGAATAAGCCTACAAAATCGCTACAGCCAGACCAAACAACACTACCGAACCCAGAAAATGTATCCTTGCCAAACCAGTCCACCGAAACACATTTACCTCGGCATGATGAACATATCACTTCGCCTCAAATACCTCAATCCGAGTTGCAGATTTACAAGAGACGATAAAAACCAATTTCTAAATTAATCCTTGAACCTAATCCCGAGTATCCCATACAACATGGACACTGTCATGAACCGGAACCGAACGAGAATCCTTTGGAGAACGAAGAAGGTAATCAGAGTTCTTCCACTGAATTAAATGCTTTAATTGATGATAATGACTTGCCGATTGCTCAAAGGAAAGGAGTAAGAAAATGCAGAAATTATCCAATTGAGAGATTTGTTGCATACGGAAAGCTAATGCCTTGTTTTAATAACTTTACAGCAAGTGTAGATAACATTACTGTTCCAAAAATGGTGGAAGAAGCATTGAAAGATCCTAAGTGGAAAAAGACAGTAGAAGAGGAATTAAAAGCACATGAAAACAACAATACTTGGATTATAGTTGATCTTCTGAAAGATAAAAAAAACAGTCGGCTGCAAATGGGTATTCACGGTAAAATACAAAGCTAATGGTAGCATTGAAAGATATAAGGCGAGATTAGTGGCGAAATGATTCACTCAATCTTTTGGAGTTGATTATCATGAAACGTTTGCTCCGGTAGCAAAACTAAACATTGTGAGAGTGTTACTGTCATTAGCAGTTAATGAGAATTGGGTGCTTCATCAGTTAGACGTCAAAAATGCATTTCTAAACGGAAACTTGGAGGAGGAAGTATATATGCGAATTCCACCGGGTGTGAAGAGTAATACAGGAAAAGCATTTAGATTACTAAAGTCCTTGTGTGGACTTAAGCAATCTCCAAGAGCCTGGTTTGACAGATTTACAAAGGTGATTATTCAGGATGGTTACAAACAATGTCAATCAGATCACACTTTATTTGTCAAAACATCTTCAAACAACAAAAAGGCAATTTTGATTGTCTATGTGGATGATATCATTCTAACAGGTGATGATTGTATGGAGATAGAAAGATTGAAAAAGCTACTGGCGAAGGAGTTTGAAACCAAAGACTTGGGAACTTTACAGTATTTTTTAGGCATGGAGGTTGCAAAGTCAAAAGAAGGAGTAGTGATCAACCAAAGGAAATATATCCTTGATCTACTATCAGAAATTGGAATGAAGGGATGTAAGCCGGCTGAAACACCCATGGAAGCAAATCTGAAGCTAAGGAGAGAAGAATTGGGAAGTCATGTGAACAAAGAACAATATCAAAGGATAGTAGGTAAACTAATTTATTTATCACTTACTAGACCTGATATTGCGTTCCCTGTCAGTATAGTGAGTCAATATATGAATGATCCAAGAGAAGAACATTTAGAGGCTGTGAATAGAATTCTAAGATACTTGAAAATGACACCAGGACATGGATTAATTTTTAGAAAGAGTGATGATAGAACAGTAAGAATTTTTTCGGATTCAAGCTAGGTAGGTGAATTAACAGATAGAATATCTACAACTGGTTATTGTTCATTTGTTTGGGGAAATCTGGTTACTTGGAGAAGTAAAAAACAGGCAGTGGTGTCTCGAAGTAGTGCAGAAGCAGAATTTAGAACAATGGCACTTGGAATTTATGAAGGAATTTGGCTTCAAAGAATGTTAACTGAGCTGGGGTTATGTGCCAACAAATGGTTTGTACTTCAAAGTGACAGTAAATCTACAATAAGTATTGCAAAGAATCCAGTTCATCATGACCGAACGAAGCATGTGGAGATTGACAAACATTTCATCTCTGAAAAGGTGAATAGTGGAACGGTGAAGCTCAATTATGTTTCAACGAAGAATCAGTTAGCAGATATTCTCACCAAAGCACTTCCAAGAATTACCTTTGATGAGATTATATCCAAGTTGGGTCTTTTCAACATTTACTCCCCAACTTGAGGGGGAGTGTAGGTTATGCAATAGATAAGTTAGTATTTTAATATAACAATAACTCTTAGAAAGTTAGATAGATAAGGATAACTACTAAGTAGTTTACTTCTAATAGAAAACTTACTCCTAACTTTTCCTATAAAAAGATGTATTTTCACCATTCACAATATATATTAAAAAGAGTTCCTTTTCTTCTCCACTATGTTGTTTACTCTTTATCAACATGATCTGTGAACCATTCTCTTCACGAGTCGGATCAACCATAAGATCAACCATATTGAGCAAGAACACAAATCTGAACTTCAAGAAAAATATGTACCAAATCAAGAAGCAAAGAACAATGAAGCAAGGAAGGCAGAAGACGAACACCTGAGCTTCATGAATGGCAGCAGGAAGTCACCACAGCAGCACCAGGAATTAGCGACTGATACCATGTTATGATATAAATATAACTATTATGTATGGAAGAAACAATAGAGAAGATAGAAGAAAAGCTCTGCATTTCATTTCTTCAATCTTGCTTACGTGAATGGAGTCTTGGCAACTCATTTATATCAGCTGATTAACCATGCCAGCTGATTAACAACTTCCCTTAACTAACTAGTAACATCACTTAACCAATTCTTAACAACTTTAGTTACAACTAACTTTACACTAACGTTTATACACTAACATTCCCCATACAGTTCACATTTCCATCTTTGCTCTCTGATGAACATTCTTCATGCAGTTCGCATATACTAACAAGGAAATGTTTATAAGGTTGGGGTGTTATTCATCTTGAGTCATATTATATGTACGACAAAGAATGATGTGAATGTGATTTTTCTAACCTCAAGTTTCATGTTACGTAGGTATGGAGTATTTTGATGTGTGGAAAATATCATGTTGCAGTTCATAGATGGATTGAAGCATTTATTTGCTTCTGTAATGCAATGTTGTGATATTGATTTGTACAAACAATCTAGAGGTCTAGATGATCCCGAACTTCTTGCAAGAGAGATTGTGTGTATGTGATTGTTTTTCCTTTATTTTAATATTATTGTTAAGCTTTTGAATGAATTAATTTCTTATTCATATTTTTCCTTATTGTGCACCTCAATGCAGTTAGTGTAAGTGAAATAGAAGCTCTTTATGAGCTCTTCAAGAAGATAAGTAGCGTTGTGATAGATGATGGGTTGATTAACAAGGTCTTTTTTCTATTATTTTTTTACTTCAGGTTTTATTTTTCGTGGTGTTTGTCAAGTTTTGGGCTTTGATGATCACTCCGTATGCTTTTTCGTATGTGAATTTATTTTATGTTACCATTTGGCAGGAGGAGTTTCAATTGGCGTTATTCAAAACAAACAAAAAGGAGAGCTTGTTTGCAGATCGGGTATTTTTATCTAATGTTAACTAATATTGTTTCCATCCTCAAGAAAAGAATGCTCGCAAATCTCACCATACCGATATTTGCAGTTATTAGTATCTTGCCTGAGCTGTTGTCAATGTATGTCGTATATCATTGCAGGTATTTGACTTGTTTGATACAAAGCATAATGGTATTTTAGGTTTCGAAGAGTTTGCTCTTGCTCTCTCTGTCTTCCATCCAAATGCACCAATTGACGATATGATTGAGTGTACGTGTCATTTAATTTGTCTGAATCAAAATCTTTATTTGCATCTTTGGCCATCATTCATACACCCCGGTAACTTGGTTACGGGTGTAAATGACTAGCATGGAAATGGAACTCTGAACTTGAGAATCGATCCAGTTTTCAGTTGTCTCTGTCGAGTACTTTGTCTTCTCATAAATCTTTTATGCCCTTTTGCAGTCTCTTTTCAACTATATGATCTCAAGCAGCAAGGTTTCATTGAGAGGCAGGAAGTATGTACTATGTTTCCCGATTTCAGTATTTTATTTTCTATATTTCTTTTATCCTTCTTCCTGTTGGGAAAAAATAAACCGAGTACAAGTAATTTCCCTATAACCAGATTAGTGAGAATACGAAATAAAAGCGGAAAAATAATACCCGAAAATTGATAACGGAGTTCAGCCAATTGTGCTTACGTCTCCGGGCTGCTGCAGATCTTTTACTAAGAGAGAAAATTTACAGGTGTTTACAAAACACTCACTACTCACAAGAAAGCTCTCTAGTATAGGAAGAAAGAAATGTTTTGGGATGATTTTGAAGCTAAATGGGTAAGGGTATTTATAGTAGAAACTTAGGGACTAATCTTTGAAAATACCCTAAAGTGCAATGACTAAAGTGAATTTACCCATTCCTATTTTCAACAAACATCTACCAAAATTTTACCAAACTTTGAAAAACATTTTTCAAAGAAACATTTACCAAACTTTGAAAAAAACATTTTCCAAAGTTGGTTGCCAAACTTTGAAACTTTTAACAATCTCCCACTTGAAGACTGATTTTAATATGTCTTCACACCTCGATCAATGCAGCAGCATGTCTGGTCTTGTTATTCTAGCATGCCAACTGAAGTTGAACACAACTTCAGTTTGTCCGTAGTCACCGTCTTTGTCAACATGTCTGCCGGATTTTGAGCTCCACTAATCTTTTCAAGTTTCAAAATCCCATCTTCCAGAAGAGACCGGATAAAATGATATCTCAATTGTATGTGCTTTTTCCTGGAATGAAAAGACGGATTCTTTGCTAGATGGATAGCACTTTGACTGTCGCAATACAAGATATTGTTTTCTTGTTTCTTGCCTAACTCTTCCAAGAAACTTTGGATCCAAAACATCTCCTTGCTGGCTTCCGTAACAGCGACATATTCTGCTTCAGTTGTGGAGAGAGCAACTATCTTCTGTAGTTGAGAAACCCAACTCATTGCAGTTCCTCCTAGAGTATAGACATACCCTGTAGTGCTCCTTCTGATGTCGACATTTCCGGCTAAGTCAGCATCTACATAGCCTGTCAGTATCATATCTCTACCTTTGAAACAAAGTGCTTTGTTTGTGGTACCCCGAAGATATCTGAGGATCCATTTGACTGCTTCCCAGTGTACCTTGCCCGGATTATTCATGTATCTGCTAACAACTCCCACTGCATGAGCAATATCTGGTCTGGTACAAACCATGGCATACACCAGACTTCCAATTGCTGAGGCATACGGCACCTTCACCATGTGTGCACGTTCTTCCTCCGTCTTTGGTGATTGGTCTTTAGAGAGTCTGAAATGAACACCTAAAGGTGTACTTACTAGTTTAGCATCTTGCATGTTGAACCTGGAGAGTACTTTGTTGATGTACTCAGCATGTGATAACATCAAAGTCCCCGACTTTGTGTCTCTCTTGATCCTCATCCCAAGAATCTGCTTTGCAGCGCCCAGATCCTTCATAGCAAACTGCTTCGACAATTTTTGCTTCAAGTGTATAATCTCTTGCATGTCTGAGCCTGCAACGAGCATGTCATCAACGTACAATAATAAAATAATGAAGCTGTTGTTGAACCTCTTGATGTAGCAACAATGATCTGCTTGGCATCTGATAAAACCACTGCTACTCATGAAGCTATCGAATTTCTTGTACCACTGTCTAGGAGCTTGTTTTAAACCATACAAGCTCTTCTTCAACCTGCATACCAGGTTTTTCTTGTCTGCCTCTATGAAGCTTTCTGGCTGCCTCATATAGATTTCTTCCTCCAAATCACCATGAAGGAAAGCTGTCTTTACATCTAACTGCTCAAGATGTAAATTCTCTGCAGCTACAATTTTCAACACCAGTCTGATTGTAGACAATTTTACGACTGGAGAGAAAATTTCATTGTAGTCAATACCTTCTTTTTGCTGAAAGCCTTTGACAACCAATCTTGCTTTGTAGCGTTTGCTCCCATCGTGCTCTTCTTTGATCCTGTAAATCCACTTGTTGTGGAGCGCTTTCTTGCCTGGTGGTAATTCAGCTAATTCCCATGTCTGATTTGACATAAGCGAGTCCATCTCATCTTTCATGGAAGACTCCCACTTGACTGAATCCTCCACTTGCATTGCTTCATCATAGCACTCTGGTTCACCATTGTCAGTCAGCAACAAGTAGTGTAAAGAAGGAGAATACCGTTGGGTTGGTTTAGGAATTCTGGAGGAGCGTCTCAGTTCTGGTGTGCCTGGTTCTTCTTGAACTGCTTCAGGATTGATCTGAACATCATTTCCAGAAATCTCCTCGAACTCAGCAAATTCCTTTGTTTCACCTTTGGTATTACTTGATTCTGCGGTTGACCTATCTTTGTACATCACATTTTCATTGAAAATGACGTCTCTGCTTCTGATGATCTTTCGATTTTCGTAGTCCCAAAACCGGTAACCGAACTCATCACCACCGTAACCAACAAAGACGCATTTGTTGGACTTGGCATCAAGTTTACTTCTTTCAGCAGAGTTTATGTGTACATAAGAAATACAACCAAACACTCTTAAGTATGAAAGGTTTATTTCTTTCTTGCTCCAAGCTTCCTCTGGTATTCCGCCATCCAAAGGAACTGAGGGCCCACGGTTGATCAAGTAAGCTGCAGTGTTGATAGCTTCAGCCCATAGAAATTTGGGCAATCCGGCATGTATCCTCATGCTTCTGGCACGTTCATTCAGAGTTTTGTTCATGCGCTCTGCTACGCCATTCTACTGCGGTGTTATGGGAACTATTGTCTCCATCTTGATCCCATTGTTTGCGCAGAAATCTCTGAATCTACTGTCTCTGTATTCTCCTCCATTGTCAGACCTCAACCGCTTGACTTTCAAACCAGTCTCATTTTCCACCATGGCCTTCCATTTTCTGAAGGTATCAAAGACTTCTGATTTCTTCTTCAGAAAATAAACCCACACCTTCCTTGTTGAATCATCGATGAAGGTGACATAATATAGTGAGCCCGCAAGAGATGGAACTGGGGATGGTCCCCATACATCAGTATGAACCAACTCTAACCTTTCTGCCTTGGGTGTCTTGCCAATCTTTGCAAAACTGACTTTCTTTTGTTTGTCAAAGATGCAATCCTCGCATAGTCCGACATCTACATTCTTTAGATCCGGCAGCTTCCCTTTTGACAGAAGTATCTTCATTCCTTTCTCGCTCATATGGCCAAGCCTTTGGTGCCATAGGTTTGATTTTCCATCAGCATCTGCTACTGCAATGATATTCTCTAAATTTGAGGTTACATAGAGAGTACCAGTCTTCTTACCACGAGCAATGACGAGTGCTCCTTTGGTAATCTTCCATTCACAGCCTGAAAAGGTTGTGCTATATCCTTCTCCATCAAGCTGTCCAACAAAAATCAGATTTCTTTTGAGGCCAGGAATATGTCTCACTCCTGTCAGCTTCCAGGTGGTCTGGTTTGGCAACTTTAGTCGGATGTCTCCTTTTCCGACGATCTTTAAGGTTTCATCATCAGCAAGATGAACCTTCCCAAAATCACCACTGACATAGTTCTCCATGATTTCTTGGTATGGGGTGGAGTAGAAAGATGCCCCTGAATCCAAGATCCATGATTCAATCGGACTGTTGACGCTTAGAATCATGGCATCACCTGTCTCTTCTGTCACGTTGGCAGATTCCTGTGCACCGGTATCTTTCTTCAGTGCTCGGCAATCTCTTTTGAAGTGACCCTTCTTGCCGCAATTATAACAGGTAAAATCTTTATTTCCTGTTCTTGATTTGCCCCTTCTAGATTTTGATCTGCCACGATTTGAATTTCTTTCTGAAGTTCTCCCTCTAGACTCCGTGTGTAAGGCTGAGGAGGTTGATGCTTCACCCGATTCTCTTCGTCGAATTTCTTCACTCAATACCAGATCCCGAACATCGTCGAATTTTAATTTGCTGTTTTCTGACGAACTGCTGACTGCTGTAACAGTAGCATTCCAACTGTCTGGTAGAGATGATAAGAGAATTAAAGCTCGAACTTCATCATCGAACTCAATTTCCACTGAACTCAACTGGGTTGTGATTGTGTTGAGTTCATTTGGGTGTTGTGCCACCGATGCCCCTTCCGCCATCCGCAAATTGAATAATCGCCTCATCAAATGAACTTTGTTTGAGGCCGATGGCTTCTCGTACATACTGGAGAGAGCCGCCATAAGACCCGCCGTGGTCTTTTCCTTTGCTATGTTAAAAGCAACATTGCGGGATAACGTCAGTCGGATAACTCCGAGGGCTTGTCTGTCGAGAAGAGCCCAATCTTCATCCTTTATGCCCTCTGGTTGCTTTCCTGAGAGAGGTTGATATAGATTTTTCTGGTACAAAAAATCTTCAATCTGCATCTTCCAAAAGCCAAAGTCCGCACCATCGAACTTTTCAATTTTCACCTTCCCTTCGTCTGCAGCCATCGCTCCCACTCGAATCTGGCTTCGTTTGGATCGTTTCTGACAATTCTTACGAATCATCGTGTATTAGAACACCACCGTCGACAAACTCGTATCGCCGACCGAATTTTACTATTCACGAAATTCACTATTCACGTGAATAGTAATGAATAGTAACCTCGCAGAAAATTTAACAAAATTCACAACCAAAAGCTCTGATTACCAGTTGTTGGGAAAAAATAAACCGAGTACAAGTAATTTCCCTATAACCAGATTAGTGAGAATACGAAATAAAAGCGGAAAAATAATACCCGAAAATTGATAACGGAGTTCAGCCAATTGTGCTTACGTCTCCGGGCTGTTGCAGATCTTTTACTAAGAGAGAAAATTTACAGGTGTTTACAAAACACTCACTACTCACAAGAAAGCTCTCTAGTATAGGAAGAAAGAAATGTTTTGGGATGATTTTGAAGCTAAATGGGTAAGGGTATTTATAGTAGAAACTTAGGGCCTAATCTTTGAAAATACCCTAAAGTGCAATGACTAAAGTGAATTTACCCATTCCTATTTTCAACAAACATCTACCAAAATTTTACCAAACTTTGAAAAACATTTTTCAAAGAAACATTTACCAAACTTTGAAAAAAACATTTTCCAAAGTTGGTTGCCAAACTTTGAAACTTTTAACACTTCCCATCATTCATATATTTTTTACATACAGGTGAAGCAAATGGTAGTGCCTACGCTTGCTGAATCAGGCATGAACCTTTCAGACGATGTTATAGAAAGTATAATCGACAAGGTGATCGATCACTCAAATCTGATTCGATCGAAGGCATATCTTTTCTAACTTTCATTTTCCTTGGTTCTAGTTTACGCATGCTAAGTTTTCGAGCTTTGCAACAGACCTTTGAGGAAGCAGATACGAAACATGATGGGAAGATCGACAAGGAAGAGTGGACAAGCCTTGTCCTACGACATCCGTCCCTCCTGAAAAACATGACCCTGCAATATCTCAAGTAAGTCCCAAACATGCTCAGATGAAAAAATCCAATTAGCTGCTGGAGGTTACCGATAAAGACTACTTTCACCCCATGTCTATTGTCACGGTCGGTGATTCTTTTTTTGTATTCTTGAAACAGGGAAATCACCACGACATTCCCGAGCTTCGTTTTTCATTCGCAAGTTGATGATACCTAAAATCGGCAAATGGATTCAAATCTTAATGAGACACCATCTATTACGGTTTGTTCCATTCGATGGGGGATTTCGAATCTTAAATGATGTAAGGGTGAGTTGTTATGATGTTTTGGTTCATTGGTTGATTTGTAATGTGTGTTCATATTCAACTGTTGAACATTTTTGTCTGACTTTTCGGTCAATTGGATATTTAGGTTTTTTTCCCTATGTTTATGGTGTTACAATGTAAAATAAAAATGGTTCTTTAGATAATTTTTTTTAAAAGGTGGTTCTTTTGATAATTTTTTTTAAAAGGTGGTTCTTTTGATAATTTTTTTCCTAGTATAATCTAAAAATATGCAACACTTTTTGTGGATGTAAAACTTGAATGTGGAAAATGAATAGGGATGGGAATGAGACACGAACCCAACGGGTTCCGACCTGATCAGGTCGGGTCGGGTTTTTTAAAGGTTGTGTTAGGCCTGTAAATGAACTGAACGTTCAGTGAACCGTTCATGAACCTGCGGCGGGAAGTTCGTTTATGTTCGTTTATTTATTAAATGAACGAACATGAACAAAATTTTGCATTCGTTTAATTAAATGAACGAACATGAACAAAGGGCTTGTTCACTCATTTACGTTCGTAAACGTTCGTTTATGTTCGTTTATGTTCTTTCATTTATGTTCAAACAGATGTCAAATTGAATATGTTACGGAGATTATTGAAGTTGTTTGAATTTCAAGAAGATTGTTTTGTTGAATAAATTAATTTTAAGACTTTATTATATTCATATAGCTTATTTATGATTTATGTATGTTTTTATCGTATTCGAACAAATTAACTCTAAAGTTGTAGGTTATATTAATGAATTTTAAGTTGTTATTCTTGTTGTTTGCTTTTTTTTACATTCGTTTATTGTGTTCGAATAAGTTTTTTTTTGTATTTGTGTTGTTCGTTTATTGTGTTCGTTTAAGTTCTTGTTCGTTTATTATTTAAATGAATGAACATGAACAACCTATATTTCTTAATGAACGAACATGAACAAAAAAAATTTGTTCGTTTATCTTCGTGTTCGTTTATGTTCGTTTATTTATTAAATGAACGAACATAAACATACCTCCGTTCGTGTGCGTTCGGTTCGTTTACAGACCTAGGTGGTGTTCTGGTCGGGTTGAATTCGGGCTTAGAGTAAAAAATATTCAACCCGATCAGGAAAAAATATAATTTTAGGATTAATTATAATAATAACCCTCTATATATTATTATTATTTTTAATTAAATCACTTTTTTTTTATTGAATAAAAATAATATTTTTTATTATTTCGGGTCAGATCGGATCGTATTTGGATTTTATCTCAAAAAGTCGACTTCAGATCGGGTGGAGGGTATATATTTTTCTAGTCGGATGAAAGATGTAAAATTTTCGGTAAAACGTTACCTAAAACATTATTTTTTTTTTACCAGATTTTTTTTACTGCGTTTACATATATCGGTAATTAGAATCGGTAGAAATAATAATGTTTTCGATCATTATTTTGCCAGTTTTATTATTTAAAATAATAAAAAAACCGGTAGCGTCTTATTTTATCGCACGTGAGCATTTCCCAAAAATCCTAATCTGAACAAATACAATGACTTGGTATTTTTCATCAAAATTTGTCATTAATGCATTAATGTAAAACTAAATATAATTACGAACTCAATAGGTATATCTTATGGTAAGTAAATTGACAAAAATATTAATGTATCAACTAGGGTGACTCTAAAAATTGATTTTTTTTACTCGACTCGAATTAAGTTCGAATTGTAATTTCATAAACTTGACTCGGCTCGAAAAAAATTATATTCAAATCGAGTTGTAAAATATAACTCGTATAACTCAAAAATTTTAGTAATTAGTAGATTGATTTCCAAGTTTAAGTTTAAGTTTGAGTTAAGTCCATCGACTTTATATAGGTATATGTAAATCACATATGGAAAATACAAAAAAATGTATATATGTTATATATGATTATAAAATATCATTTAAATTAGAATTAAATAATTTTATAATATTATAAATATTTATAATTTAAATTTAAATAAAAACTCAAAAATTTGACTCGACTCGACTCGAAAAAATTTCAAATTAAATCCTAGTTATAAAATAGGACTCGTCAACTAGAATAATTCGAAATTTTTTTACTCAACTCGACTCGATCGAACGCTCACTCCTAATATCAACTATTATAATATATTTCTTAAATGAAAACAGACACTTTGCAAACGGCGGTTTTACCCAAATCGACGTGTCTATTGAACGGATTATTCGTCGCTTTATTTGGAGTATTACTTCGACGCGTGGCGGAATTCATTTGGTCAAATGGAAGGATACGTGTCTTTACGGAGTTCAAATTGTTCCCGTCTTAGGAAGGTTCTGAATATCGTTTGGAATGTTGTTCGTACAAATCTGGTGTGGTCTATTGGTTTGGGCACGGATATGGATTTTTGGTATGACTCGTGGCTTGAGGATATTGGTCCACTTATTGATTATGTAAATCCTGGCTTTGCTTCATCTATCCGGCGAACTCTTGTGGCGTCGATGGTCGATTCTGTTGACAGGTGGAAATGACACATTTTTATTCATCTTCTCCCCAAGATTTCTTGTTACGAATCGCTGCAATTAAAGGCCCGGAGTCCAGAATTACGACTGACTTAATCGGCTGGCGTGGGACTCTAGACGGCTCATTCACGTTGAAGTCCGCTTACATGCTTCGTTCTGGGAACATAGCAGTAAACCAAAGTCCTGTTTGGTCCACTGTCAACAAAATTCAATGCCTCGAGTAAAAACCTTCCTTTGGCTTGTCTGTTGTCGCAAGATTATGACAAATGAGGAACATCATAAGCGGCATTACTTTACGGATTCTAGCTGCATGGTTTGCGGGGCTTTAGTTGAAGATATCGAGCATATCCTCAAATGGTGTCCTTCAGCTTTTCAAACCTGGACGGCCTTATGCCAGCTTCTAAGCTGGTTGCTTTCCTAGATATGAACCTGCACGATTGGATTGAAACTAATCTTTCTGGTTCGGCTGCTGCTGCTAATAATATTAATCGCTGGGACTCGTTTTCGGATATATTTTATGGAATCTATGGCTTTACTGTTGGAAAATAAACGAGTAATTTTCCTATAACCAGATTAGTGAGAATGCGAAATAAAAGCAGAAAAATAATACCCGAAATTGATAACGGAGTTCAGCCAATTATGCATACGTCTCCGGACTGCTACAGATCTTTTACTAAATAGAAAAAATTTACAGGTGTTTATAAAACACTCACAACTCATAAGAAAACTCTCTAAACTCTTTAGTATTGGGAGAAAGAAATGATTTGGGATAATTTTGAAGCTAAATGGGTTAGGGTATTTATAGTTGAAGCTTGAGGATTAATCTTGTAAATACCCTAAAATATGCAGGGACTAAAATATAATTATCTCTTCACAATTTTCAACTAAAATGACTACCTAATTTGGACTAATTTTAGCCGCCCATGTAATGCCAATTTTTCAACAATTTACAGCTTCAATTTTTGACTTCCAAAGCCCCCAATTTTGACTTCTAACAATCTCCCACTTGAAGACTGATTTTAATTTGTCTTCACACCTCGATCAATGCAGCAGCATTTATGATCTTGTTACTCTAGTATGCCAACTGAAGCTGAACACAACTTCATTTTGTCCGTAGTCACTGTCTTTGTTAACATATCTGCCGGATTTTGAGCTCCACTAATATTTTCAAGTTTCAAAATCTCATCTTCCAGAAGAGACCAGATAAAATGATATCGCAATTGTATGTGCTTCGTCCTGGAATGAAAAGACGGATTCTTCACTAGATGGATAGCACTTTTACTGTCGTAATACAATACATTATTTCCTTGTTTATTGTCTAACTCTTCCAAGAAACTTTGGAGCCAGACCATCTCCTTGCTGGCTTCTGTAACAGCGACATATTTTGCTTCAGTTGCGGAGAAAACAACTATCTTCTGTAGTTGAGAAACCCAACTCACTGTAGTAGAGTATTGACATAGCCTGTAGCGCTCCTTCTGATGTCAACATTTCCGGCTAAGTCAGCATCTACATAGCCTGTCAGTATCGTATCTCCACCTTTGAAACAAATTGATTTGTTTGTGGTACCCTGCAGATATCTGAGGATTCATTTGACTACTTCCCAGTGTACCTTGCCCGGATTATTCATGTACCTGCAACAGCTCCCACTGCATGAGCAATATCTGGTCTAGTACAAACCATGACATACATCAGACTTCCAATTGCTGAGGCATACAGCGCCTTTACCATGTGTGCACGTTCTTCCTTCGTCTTTGGTGACTGTTCTTTGGAGAGTCTAAAATGAACACCTAATGTACTTACTGGTTTAGTATCTTGCATGTTGAACCTGGAGAGTACTTTGTTGATGTACTCAGCCTGTGATAACATCAAAGTCTCCGACTTTGTCTCTCTCTTAATCCTCATCCCAAGAATCTGCTTTGCAGCGCCCAAATCTTTCATAGCAAATTGCTTCGACAATTTTTGCTTCAAGTTTATAATCTCTTGCATGTATGAGCCTGCAACGAGCATGTCATCAACATACAACAATAAAATAATGAAGTTGTTGTCGAACTTCTTGATGTAGCAACAATGATCTGCTTGGCATCTGATAAAACCACTGCTACTCATTAAGCTATCGAACTTCTTGTACCACTGTCTAGGAGCTTGTTTTAAACCATACAAGTTCTTTTTCAACTTGCATACTAGGTTTTTCTTGTCTTCCTCTGTGAAGCCTTCTTACTGCCTCATATAAATTTCTTCATCCAAATCACCATGAAGAAAAGTTGTCTTTACATCTAACTGCTCAAGATGTAGATTCTCTGCAGCTACAATTTTCAACATCAGTCTGATTGTAGAAAATTTCACGACTAGAGAGAAAATTTCATTGTAGTCAGTACCTTCTTTTTGTTGAAAGCATTTGACAACCAATCTTGCTTTGTAGCGTTTGCTCCCATCGTGCTCTTCTTTGATCCTATAAATCCACTTGTTATGGAGTGCTTTCTTGCATGGTGGTAATTCAGCTAATTCCCAC